TATAAATATATGCTTGTGCGGACAGACAACAGTAAATAGACAGACACATACACAGAATGTGTACCGCTACTGAAGAGCAGAAGCTGGTTTGCGCTCTGCCGGATGCGCTTTTATACTTTCTGGTGCTTACGTCACCCCGCTCGTGACGTCTCGCTGCTCCATTGGACTTATTTGACACGTGCTTCAGAACGCGGTCACGCAAGGGCGTTCCCAAAGCGAATCTCGACGCAGCTCGAGTTCCTGAAGGGGAACCAGGGTTACATACGTAACCTGAGATGTTTTTTAGGCATAGTTCTAGTCATGATCAGGTCCAAAGACTTTAGGCATACCCAGACCTTGCTCAAATATTATAATGAATGGGAGCCAGCAAAATCCACATTTTGGTGGAATGAGTCCTGCCTTCTAAAAAGTGTTGCCAGACGTACGATAATTATCATATTTGTACGATAATTTTGACCTCTTTACGATGTACGATCAATAATGAAAAGAAATCCCATAATGTGCGATAATTTCATAATTTTATGACAATTCAAATGATGGTAGTTGTAGTCATAGGGCTTCTATATTCATACACGAAATTGGCTCATTACAGACATTCTAAATGAGCCATGCACACCTCAGAGGTGTGTAAGAATGCAGGAGGGTGCCCTGCTTTAAAGCCAACGAGCACTATGTTGCGGTCCATGACGGCAAGAACCCCCTCAACATCTGGCAACACGCAGGCTTCCGATGACAGCGGCTCAGATGTGGAGTTAACAGCTAAAGTATGTCTACACTCGCTACAAAGCGAGTGTTAAAAATAATTTTAATATGTCATAAATAGAACGAGGCATCAGTTTACTGTTGGGGATGTGTCGTGTCGTGTCACTTCCAGTGCAGACAGTCACTGATTATAATGGGTTCTATAGTATTTTGTCACACTGCTCGCGTCCAATGTAAACACTTTTTTCTCATGTCAAAAAGTTGTTGGTTTAGATAGCTGTATTCTTTACGTTTGACTCGTGTAGGATAATTTTCTTCCAAATACTATAATTTTGAGCTTCTGGTACCATACTTGGACATTTCCAATCTGGCAACACTGCATGGTTGTCAACACACCATATGCTAAAGCTTTGCAGAGCAACATCCATTTTGGTGTGCTCTTTGTCGAATTTGTCAAGGTATTCGACTAATCAACTAATCTAATGACTAATCAACTTGAATTCCTTTTTTTATTGTCTAAAGATGATTTGTTTAGATTTTCATGTAAATCAGGAGGAGATAGAAAAAGTAGGTTTTACAGAAAACTCAATGTCAGGAAAAGTTTCATGATGGAGAATGACATCAGGGTGCAATCGAATCATCTTGAGCCAAGGAATCCAAAGGAAAACAGAATTGTTTTTTTTCTTGCGAGAAAGTTCACTTACAGTTCAAAATAAACATGAGTGCAAATTCGGACAGCTGGAAATTTTACAACTTTTACCCATATGGTTATGAGCTGCCATAGACTCGAGCGGAAGAAGAAGAACACTAACGGATACAATGGGTACCTACACACCCTCGGTGATTGACCCCCAAATATCTGCCAATAGGCTAAAAAAAATCAGCTTGATTAAACCACAATGTTACAGATATTTATTATTGTTTTAAGCATAACTCACCTAAAAGTGCTCAGTTTTTCCAGGACTTCATATTACATTTGCATTTCAAGTAAATGTATCTTGACTTTCTGCTCTGATTTAAGACCTTTTTAAAGCCTTAAATTGTAAGACTTTTTAAGACCTGCAGAAATCCCGACTTGCGTCTTGATTACATTTTTTTATATTCCTGTACAACCTGAAAGTGTTCAGTGCTTTAGCAAATATCCAACCCAAAATTCAAATTTGCCATTGAATGTTCTTGAAATTCAAAGCAGAAGACTGATGTCACCCTGAAGATTCAGATGTCTTGCATTTTCCTTTCGGTATTGATAGTTCTGGAGGTAAGCTTTAAGGCAAACGAAAAGTTGGCTCAGTCCCTGCAAAAAGAGCGAACCATGAGATATCGCCATCGTATCCTTTAAGAAAGGCACTCCAGGTAATTCCATGGGGATCGTCCCTGTAAAACGTTCAAGATGACATTGCCTGAAACCATTCCAGCAACCTTTTCAGTTCAGTCCACATTAAGGGGATTCAAAAAATTCCAGTCCTCAGAGCTTTTTGCATGTTTTTATGTGACTACGACATTTTGGACACTTGTGAACGATGTCTTTGCATCCATCCATGCAGAACGGGATTACACAGCACTGAAGATTCAGATGTCTTGCATTTTCCTTTCGGTATTGATAGTTCTGGAGGTAAGCTTTAAGGCAAACGAAAAGTTGGCTCAGTCCCTGCAAAAAGAGCGAACCATGAGATATCGCCATCGTATCCTTTAAGAAAGGCACTCCAGGTAATTCCATGGGGATCGTCCCTGTAAAACGTTCAAGATGACATTGCCTGAAACCATTCCAGCAAACTTTTCAGTTCAGTCCAGTCCACATTAAGGGGATTCAAAAAATTCCAGTCCTCAGAGCTTTTTGCATGTTTTTATGTGACTACGACATTTTGGACACTTGTGAACGATGTCTTTGCATCCATCCATGCAGAACGGGATTACACAGCAGCCAGCTATACAACTACACAAGAAACAGTCAAGAACACAAATATGTCATCTTTAACCCCATAATAGAATGACAAACTGGTAATCACATAATGGAATAGGGGACGTAAATTAGAGTAAAGCAAATAAAGTAAAATATCAGATGACAGAGTTCAACTCACCAAAAAAGAATGGAAATTAAACACACAATATAGGCCGCACTGCCAGCTTTGGTTGTGATGTCTGTGGTTATATACTGGTGACAGAATGGACACTGCGTCTGAGTCGAGTGTCGAGGAAGTTGCTGAAAATCCAGAATCACCTGAGGAGCTGAGAAAAACAAACATGAGCCGCTTTCAGGAAGCTCTGGTCCAGTTGGATTTTGTATTAGCGTAGTTGTCTCTCATCTCACCTCACATCAATGAAATAGTGTAAAGACTACTAACCTGGATAAGGTGGCGGACTGTCTATAATTATTACACCAGATGAAACAGTTGTGTCTGAAATAATAAAAACGTATGGACATATGAAAATGACATATGATCTATACTTTCAAATACAAATACAGAGGGCAAATTCCAAATGTTTAAGTATATTTCCTAAATACTGTTGAAGATATCAAACCTCAAAGTGTCATACCTATTAAACGAGTGCCTCCTGAACTGTCTTGCATATTCTCCAGTTCAATCTTCCTGTCAGTGAGAACCTTAAGCTGCTCATCAATTTCTTTAAGTTCTTCAGTCTCTCTGGAATACTCTGTTGGCCACAAGATCTAGTGTGAGTTCCATCAGTTTATTCCTTACATACTGAAAAAAATCGCTATGTTTGCATATGTTACTTGTTTCGCTCCGGTTTCAGTTTTTATAACCATTTCTTACTATGTGTAAGTAAGTTGTTGTTTTTTAGCATGTGTGTTTGGCAGTGTTATTTTTTAGGATTACTGATAAACTACTGTCGTTTGATTTGTATTATTTTTATTTGTTATTTATTTTAATTTTAGTTAAATTATGTCTGAATTTATTATGTCTGTATAGGTCTTTTATTACATTTTTAGTTTGATTTAATTTGAGTTATTTTACTGATTGCTTCTGTTGTCCTCATTTGTAAGTCGCTTTGGATAAAAGCGTCTGATAAATGACTAAATAAAAAATATATAACCAAATTCTTTATTTATGAATAATCTCTAAATGTCTTTCACTGTTTATTTGGCTTCTGTTATCAAGTAGTTTCAGCTGATGGGACTCACGTTCCTCATTCTGGCCGTTGATTCGCTTGAACTGGATGAGCATTGCCAGGATATTGCGTTTGTCAATCAGCTGCTGTCTGCGAAAGGACAGCCGGTTCAGCTCCTCAAAAATGTTCGCCAGCTGTTCATCAGGCATGTTGAGGGTTGAGATGACGGTTCACTTAAACCTCCAAAAGCCTCAAACCTTCATACAGCGTCCACTCTGAAATAGATCAAATAGTTTCATAATAGAACTTAATAGCTCTAGAGCATCTAGTCAAGAATGCAGGAGAATTGTTTAATACAATGGTTTATTCCTGATATGAAAACACTACTTAACCCAAGTGCAATTACAATGTGAATGGACAATAAATATCTATTTTAAATGTAAAAAAAAAAATAGACATTTAATAATTACCCATGTGCGCTGCAGTGTCTCTTCAGTTGCTCGTCACATTGCAGTAATAAGGAAATAAGAGGCTGGTTGTACTGTAGCGGATCAGTATGAGGAACATGTTCATAATATTTAAAGTGTGTGGTTTACCTGTATTTTACTACTAACTCACATCGTGACAAGGGTCTTAAACTACATATATCTATTATATAAGCATTTAAAAAACCAACGTTAAGGGGACTTAAATTGCACTCTTGAAAACAACCCATTTTCAGGTTTAATTATTTTGAGCAATATAAAAGAAAAACACAAATATGACTTTAAAGCACTTTAGGAGACATGTACTTCCAGTGAATCAGCTGTTTTGTGGATGTATACATGTTAATGGCATTATGCTTACAAAATATGATGGTTTGGGTTTCTGTCTCAGTAAAATTAACAATGCCTTTATAAAATGTATTCTAAAAATAACTATTTAAGTTACTTGTTAGAATAATTGCTTTAACAAGTGTCCATCTTCACAGGATTAGGAAATAAACAAAGTCTTCCCAAAAGCAGTTTTAAAAAAGAGCATTGCTCAGAGTTCATGGTGACCACAGCTGCCACGTTCCATTTCAGTGGTCACTGAAATGTTGTTATTGTATGGAAAAGAACAGTTTAAAAGGCTAAAAAAAATAGAGAAAGAAAAACGCTTTTTGTTGTTGTTGTTCCACAGAAAAATAGCCGTGAACAGTGTTTGGAACAGAACGCCTTTAAATATCTATTTACAAATTTGGCCTATTAAAGAAAACTGGCAATGGTCTCTGTTCATTTCCTCCTCAGTTTCTTCAAAAACGTCACTTCATCTCTGTTCCTGATCCCGTAGCTGAGGACAGAGGAAACACAATCACACTAAATCACATCAAAAACATATCATGATTCAAAGCACAGCAACTATTGTGCACAAAAAATGAATAAAAGTTAACACATTTCTACAAAAGCAACAGATTTTTTGGACTCACTCCTTAAGCTTTCTTTTGTCATCTTCTAATTGTTCTCCATTGAAGACCAGATGAAATGTCCTCCACACATATTTCCTTAACAGAGAAAGTAGATTAGGGGGGGGGGAATCATATCCTTAATCACATCCCATACTTTTTTCACGTCTCACCAGCTGATGTGTTTGACACCCCCCTCTCGCTGCTGTTTCAGCTCCATATATCTGCAAATGGCTTTCTTGAGATCCAGAACCGTAGCAGACTGCACAACCACAATAGCTGTGAAGAGATTTGCTCCAGTTAGAATCAATACATATATAACGGTTGCGACTAACAACAAGAAAACTCACGCATGACTTCTCCATCAGCCTTACAAACACGAACAGTCATGGCTTGACCATATTCCAGAGCCACCTGAGAGTTCACCTCCTCCAACGTGACCTGAACATTTAGAAGATCAGAAACGATTTAGAATTCTAGATCTTACGAATTAATACATTCAGATATGTAGCTTGTTTTAATATTATTCTATTAAAACAAACTCTTCATTGTTATTTGATGGTCGACCTGAATTGGCAGGTCGCACAGTAAAGGGTCCTGCACCATCAGAGCCAGGCCTTCCTCAAAGATGTCAAGAAATTCAGAGTGGGGCAATGCCTCCTCGTCGTCTTCTTCTTCTTCTTCTTGCTCTTCTTTAATTTCATCTACAACAGTTTTCTCCACTAACTCAGCCTCGTCGACATTCTTTGGGGATCCTTCCTTTAATTCATCCATGTTCAACTGATAACAAGCGAAAACTATCTAGAAATACAAGACATTAAAGTGTCAGGTTCTTTCTATGTTTAATAAACTATTAGTAAATTTAAATGGAATTAAATGGCATAGTTGGTCAATTATTTGTGAAGAAATTGTAACATCTACAGTTCTGTTAAGTTCCAGCTTTCCTTATATCCATTTTTTTTTAACAAACACGCTATCGGAACATTTCTATGATGCACCAAACTTTAGTTCCGCATACGTTTCTATATTATATTTCCGATACAATTCTTTACATTTGAATATTTTAATTGAACATGTATATATTCTCTGACATTTCTAGGTATATATAAGATTATAATATGCCCTATAATTATTGTTTATTCGCGTTTATATTTCGTTTCAAGTCGAGCCGAGAATAGTGAGGCACGTTCACCACTATGTGTTTCCTGTAGCGACTAGGCTTGAGAATGTGTGTAAACACCAACTTCGGTTGCATCAGAAAAAAAAAACAATAACAGTATTTACTATTCAATATTTTATATAACCGCTTGAAAATGCTCCTGTTTTGTCCAACCTGTGGGAATGTGTTAATCGTGGAAGAGGGGCAGAGATGCTTCAGATTCGCGTGTAATACATGTCCATATGTGCACAACATCACGAGGAAGGTAATGAGTTACCATCACAACATAGAAACGCGTTTGGAACGTTTTATTTAAATACGTGATACGTGATCTGTGCTTTGTTTGTTTTTAAATGGAATGCTTTAAAATACGTTGAAGATGAAATTAGCGGTCATTACGATTCATATCTGATGACGTGAACCTTCGATTAGACACGTGAAATAAAATTATTGTTCGATTCCAACACATGTAATATGTGAACATGTGATTCGAATACTTGATAAGATTAATGTTTATTAACATTATGACGATATAACACACTACATTCGCATTAAACAATGTGAATGTTCCATTCAAATACATGTAATACTGGAAAAAGATGTGAACTTTTCTTTTAGAACATATGTGAGTTTATGTGAACGCAGAAGAAATAATGTGCATTTTTGATTCAGTGGCTGTATCAGAATATACTTTAATATGTAGTAGGCGAAAAATGGTATATGAAAAATAGTACACAACTGTAGGTTACATGAAAATCTCAACACGACAGATGTGGTATGTCTGGATTACATCCATAATACACAAGTTCGTACTATATAAAACATACAATTTAATGGCCACGAAGTAAATGATTTCAGACGCACTACCAAGGGGTCTTTGGGATGACAGGAGAGAAAAGACTCCTGAATTAGAACATTGGCCAAAAATGCTGTCACTAGTTTTTGAGACACTGCCAACATAAAACACACACACACACATCTGAAGTGTGTGGAAATAACTATTTGTTATTTTGACAGGTGAATAACAGAAATTACCCCAAGCTGAAGGAGGTTGATGATGTTCTCGGGGGCTCTGCTGCTTGGGAAAATGTGGATTCCACTCCAGGTAAAACAGTGTATCCTAGTGCAATAAAAACAGTACTTGTATGCACAGTGAATATTTGACCACACATTCTGGTGGCTTTAAATGAATGTTTTTATGATGATGATTTGTTTTGAGGTGTAACACTTTCTAATTTTTCTTCAAAGAACCTTGTCCAAAATGTGAGCACCCAAGGGCCTACTTTATGCAGATTCAGACTAGATCGGCTGATGAACCAATGACAACCTTCTACAAGTGCTGCAATCTACAATGTGGGCACCGTTGGAGAGACTAAATCAGAGACCTTAGTTTTGGGCTTTGTTTGAGGCTCAGAATATGTGCTCATAATAGAAAATTGGGTTTTCTTTAGAAGATTTTTATATTTATTTGTTGGAGCCAAAACTACCATTTATTTGGATTAAAAACCACAGACACCCTTTATGCATCATCTACTTTATTTTCACTATTACAGAATGTTAATGTATCATTATGACAGTAACTACGTGATTTACAGCTTGGTTGTTCTGGCCTGATGACTGATTTTTGTGTGTGTGTGTGTGTGTGTGTGTGCGCAAGTAATAAAATGACTACTCGTATATGACACAGTTTATCTTTTTATTTGTTCAAATAATCAGTCCATAAGTTTTGTTTTACATACACATTTGAGACTTGAGTTGAGCATGGCATCTGGTGTAGTGCCATATACTATTCTCAAGGCATCTATCTACAGCTGCATTCATGTAACACAAGCTTGACATCTATTGTCTGCGACAGCATTAAGTCACTTCACAAAGCAAGTAGACCTACGTAGTCAAGAGCATATTCAATTAAAGGGAGCCATACAGGATAGTGCAAGTGAATCCCATGATCATGCATGCATATTTACTGGAGATTATCTTCCAATAATCAAACAGACATCATGTAGTTTTTGCAAATGATGGAGAGGTATCTTGATGATATTACAAGTCATGGGTGATGGAATTAAATAAAGCCAGATAGGATGAGGTAATTTTTTCAGTCAGAAAATAGTACATTGGAATTTCTGCTGGATATTTTGAAATCAGACCTGAATGTGGCTAAAGTTATTTTTGTAATGCCTGCATATGCAATATAGAGCAAATGTGCAAATGCTATAAAAAGTCAGTGTTCGTTGGACAGATCTGATTAAAAAGATCATATACAATGAGACAGCCGGTTTATATGCATTTACAGACAGATTGCTAAATTTTTTTCCCTTTTGTGTTAAATAGTACAATGGAAAGACGTAAAGTCTGATTGTGAAATAGCTATAATGTTGGCAGATTGTCTACCAGAGAAACAATTATTATCTGAATCTTCATTTAAAACTACACTATGTAACCTTTTTGATGGGGAAAAAAAATATTACTAAAGAGTGAGTGCAAACCATGTCCTTTATTCACCCAACTTGAACACCCTATAATAATTATTTCTGTTTTAGAGCTGTCGGGACGGATTTTGCGGGAAATTGCATATATCCGTACACAGAAAATATTCGCGTTTATGTTGTGGGAGAAGCGTGAAGCTGAAACTTTGTTGTCACAACGAACGAGAAAAATGACCATGGATCATTCAAAACGGGAAATCGCCATTGTAAAACCAAAGAAACCCCGCACACCGATACAGCGGTGCATCAAACTACATTCATCCACGTAGAGGAGCAAAGCCGATGCACAACCAAAACAATGTTACTCCGCAAGATGCGTGCAGGTTTATTTTTTTTAAACCGCTACAGGCCCAAAAGTTACTTAGTGTAGTTTTAAACAAAAGATGAAAAACAAACGTCTCAATATTGAGATATATAGTGTCTAAGCACTGCTGATGTTGTAGCTTTCGTACAATTTCAGCAGTAAATCACATTTTTGAAAAGAACAATTAATTAAAAATTTTCAATTTCGCAGCCAGGACAAACAGCTATGCAGAAACAGCCCTAACCAAATAAAGGAAAATCTTTGGATGATTCCATTAAAATTACAATCACAATCTGACCACACACTCTCTCACACACACACACACAAAAGGAAGATCAGGACAATCATCCTTTAAATCCTTGTGGCCTGTTGCACACAGTATTAATAAGCGAAGGGTTAATCTGCTTTGAGTTATGAAGCCCAGTGCAGCAACCAGCACAGCCTGACACACTGAGGGCACATATGGCCCGATAAAGCGCTATGCAAGATTACAGTGATGTCATGCAGTGTCCTTCATCATGCTGGTGAACTCCAACAGCAAAGCAGCTTTGAACAGCCTTTACCAAAAATGTCTTCCCTTTTTGAAGATGACGACTTCACTACATCAAGTAGAAATGAAGAAATTCAGCAGTACTGGCCAGAATAACTGTTAAAGGGCGCTGATCTGTAATTATAGATGTTTATATACCAATCCGAGTATCAGCAAACACAGATCTACATTATTAATGATTAATAAACTGACCTGAATAACAGATGATAATTTACAGAAGTCTCAAACAGCTTACTGACAACACAGAACAGCTAGTATAGTGGTTTGAAAAGCACCGTGGCTATACTTTTGATTCACAGTTCAAAAAAAAAAAAGAAAAAGAAAGAAAAGTATATTGGTTGAATTCCACAAATATGTCCCTAGCATGAACTGCATGGCATATTAAAGGAACAGTTGGAGAAAGCAATATGGATTATGGACTCTAATTTTTTCTGGAAGCAATGGTTTGAAGTTAAAAACGTCTTAATGAATTTTTTTTTTTTTTACAAACACAGCTTGTGGATTACTCACATTACTTGTGGATTATTGTGAAGTTTTTATCAGCTGTTTGGACTCTCATTCTGACGGCACCCATTCACTGCAGAGGATCCATTGGCAAGCAAGTAATGTAATGCTAAATTTCTCTAAATCTGTTGAATCCGATGAAGAAACAAACTCATCTACATCTTGGATGGCCTGAGAGTGAATACATTTTCAGCAAATTTTCATTTCTGGGTGAACTATTCCTTTAAAACACCATGAACTTTAATGAAAGCTATCTAGCATCTCTAAATTATTCAAAGGAGATTTAGATGGACATACAGATCCCTTTATCAATACAAATCCTTCATCTAAAATGACACATCATTACAACAATGCCTGTTACATTGATAAGCATATATCAAATCTACTTGAAATTAGTCTTATCAACAAATATAAGAAATTGAAAACAAAAGTAAAAGAAAAAAATCCCCATAACATTTGCATAAAATGCCAAATATAGAGACATTTTCACATGTAAACGCAACAACATTACTCCAGGACTTCAAAAGTCCCAGACCCAGCCATGAAAGACTTTAATTTTAATATGTTAAAATAAAACAATAATGCATAAAATAATAATCCTACAATCCAACCATACTGACCCTGAAGTGAACTTCATTTAGCTTCGCAACCCAGTATTATTCACAAATGAGCTTTTCAAGGTTAATGTTTTTACATATTCGCTAAATGTATACACTTAGCTCTACTGCTAAAATAAAAATAAAAACAGTGCTTGGATGACACAATGTAACTGACCATTGTGCATATAAAATGTACCAATCCTTCAATCACCTCCGCTAATCATCTCTGCTTAATTTTAGAGGCATCAGTAACTATGTCAAGTGCCTGTAAAAAATATATATATGAGAATCAATACTTACATGAAGTGAGAGGTGGCTGGAAATATGAACTGTCAGCTGAGGCAAAATGAACACAGAGAACAAATGAAAACGGGTTGTCTACACCCACCAGAATGTGGTCACAGCATGATTGTTGATGAGATAAACTGTTAGCATATACGCTTATATGTGTAAATATAGCCCTTGCAGTTCGGGCAAGTGTGTGTCACATCCTTGAGGTCATCAATCAAACAGGGGATCAAGCAGCAACCTAGATCACAACTGCAAAACAAAGACAAAAGTCAGAAGGAATCTCAAAGAGGTATCGTAGGGCTCATTATGTATTAATTTATTCAAAACTAAATTAAAAATGCAATTCATGCATGCAATGACCTGAATACACCTCTTCTATTTTGAAAACTGCTTCAATTTCTGTGCTACAATTCATGTACACCACCACTGACAGGTGTGGAGTTTTACTCCAATTATCACTTGAAATGAACACTTTTATCCAGCAAGGATGGATTAAATTGATCAAAAGTGAAAGTAAAGACTTTTACAATGTTACAAAAGATTTCTATTTCAAATAACTGCTGCTCTTATCAACTTTATTTATCACAGTTTCCACAAAATATTAATGGTTTCCAACATTGATAATAATGAGAAATGTTTATTGAGCAGCAAATCAGCATATAAGAATGATTTCTGAATGATCATGTGACATTGAAGACTGGAGAAATGACGCTGAAAATTCAGCTTTGCATCACAGGAATAAACTATATTTTAAAATATATTCAAACTGAAAACAGACATTTTAAATTGCAACATTATTTCACATTAGGCTACTGTTTTACTGTATTTTGATCAAATAAATGCAGCTTTGATGAACATAAAAGCCTTCTTTCAAAAATATTTTTAAAAAAATACCCAAACTTTTGAATGGTAAAAAAAAAAAAATGCCAAGGTGATACAACTTGTCCTGAAATCATAATGAAGAAAAAAAGCCTCATCGTGAAAACCTTATTTAGTGCTTTAACATAAGCTTTTATTATTATTTCTTAGAAAAATGTATGTCTGCCAAATCAGTATACAACCAACATCAAGAAAAAACATAACAGAAAGATGATTTCATATAGAGGTCCACGGTCCAGTGTTATCTTAGTATTATTGAGCTACTGTTATTGTTTTAATTAATATTTTGAATGGTTATTTATATATATATCCTGTTTTCATTTTAAAGTTTTAGTAATTTTGTTGCTTTTTTGTCATTTTTGTTCGTTTTTTCATATAGCTATCTATATATATCTATATCTATCTATCTATTCATAGATAGATAGATAGATAGATAGACAGATAGATAGATAGATTTATTCTTAATTTTTTTTATTTCAGTTTTAATTATTTTAATAAAACAAGTTACACTAAATGAAAATGAGAAATGCCTAAATTAATGCTAAAATTAAATATATTTTTTTTTTATTTCAGTTAAAGTTCATTTTTAATAAGTTTTTTTTATGGTTGTGGTTTTAGTTTTAGTTTTAGTTTAAGTTAACTATAATAACCCCGAAGAGGTCATATCAGATCATATTGTGCTGTTGAGTTCCACTGCTCACTTACCCGACAAAGAAGCAGAACATACAGATAAGAGTATTTGTGAGGCCGATGTCGTGGCTGATGCAGGTGATGATGGGTTGCTGGCAGTGTGGACAAACCGTCTGCACTGGAGCCGCTTGGAACATCTCCCCCTGTAGAACAGTCACGGTGGTGGCGGCGGCACCAGGAGGGGCGAGAACTGTGGCTGTGTGGCCTGGAGCAAAGTGACTGGGCCCTGGGCCATAGTGCTCTGTTATCGGATGAGGAAAGTGCCCAGGTGGAGCATAGTAACCACCTTCAACACATGAATGAATTTTTACAGATCTCTGCACACAATAAATCTCGTAGACAATGTAGCTTGAATTTTGTCTATAATGAAAAAAAGTAGGTGAAATCTAGTACTAGTTAATCGGAAATGTCGTCTTACAAAAACGACTGTGACAAATTACAAAGCATTTCAAGTTGTTCCAAACAACATTTCATGTTGTTCCAAACCTGTATCTATCTTCCGTGTAACACAAAAGAAGATATTTTGAAGAATGTTCAAATGGTTTCGGGCCCCATTGACGTCCATAGTATGGACAAAAAATACTATGGAAGTCAATGGGAACCAAAACTGTTTGGTTCTTCAAAATATATTCTTTTGTGTTACACGGAAGATAGATACAGGTTTGGACTGACATGTGGGTGAGTAAATGATGACAGAATATTCATTTTTGCCTGAACTATTCCATTTCAATTCGGAGTGAGTTATTAAATATTAATGAAAGATTACAAACACAAACATTTTTTTCTACTGAACAATGTTCACAAATCAACCATTCACAGATAGACCAGAATGTGTATTAAAAAAGTGAAAAGGATTCATTTTGTGTAATACTGCTCCGAGGCCTGACACATCACTTTCAGTTTCATTGTGAACAGAAAAATTACCCGTTGTTGGAAACCTGTCGCATCACAACAGATTTTGGTTTTAATTTAGTAGTAGCTCTTCTTTCTGAAATGCTAATGGTTTCTGAATGGCTGCTGATGCATTAGTGTGTCAGTTAGGTAGGCACACTCACCGTGAGGATGAAGCATGGGCATTGGCATATGCACATGCTTAGGCATGGGACCTTCTCCTGGGACATGTGGTGGAACAAAGCCAGGTTGATGTGTGGCTTCATAAGGTGGAGGTCCATATTCTGGAGGCAGCGGCTGCCCTTGTGGAGGTCCTGTCGTTACTGGAGCACTGGCTGCTGAGGAAACACAGTTTTATGTTAAATAAAAGAAATGACAGAACTCTTATATCCCTCCTGCTAGATTTGATCTTCTCATAATTAATTATAAACATGCAGTGGTGTCCAAACATCTGAGACCACTAGTGAAATGACTGTATTAATTATTTTGCATTAATTAATTAATGATACTAATTTTGCATTCTTTTTTTAAATACAGTTTTCCTTAGAAATTACTATATCAGCAAACAATTTAAGTGAAAGATTACTAACTGTCGTAGTATTTGGCTTGTCCCTCAATTGCTGCAATGACAGCAGCACTCCAGCTGCAGAAACTCCACAAGTTTGTGACAAACTTAATAAGTTTAAAGTTTAAATGAGTTTATATGTCACTAAAAACTAAAGATTGGTGAAAATATAGCAGAATCTTACACATGTACGTTATTTATTTTATATTAGGCCTATAGCATGGTGTATTTTTATTCAGTTTGTTAACAAAAGTTCTATGTTTAAGTGAGTTTGTCGTTGTATCGTTTTGTTGTTTTCCATTCAAGCAATTGACGCTGAATTGCCACTAACTCAAAAGTGTAAGTAAAATGCGCACAGGCATTTATAAGCTTTTTAAAAGCGAAGCAAAGCAAGTAGAAGAGGGAAAACCCTAACGAGAGATGGTGAGATGGTCTTCAAAGCAGGTTTAAAAACTAACAATTAATTTTATGTCAATAGAGATGAGAAAAATATCAAGGAATTTACCAGGAACTGGAGGTTGTCCATTTTTCTCCCCAAGAAATGGGGCACTCGGGCCCCCTGGGTATGGAGGAGGGGGGTCACTGGACATGTTGGTTCCCTGGAAGGAGGCCAGAGAAGGGAGCTCTCCTCACACTGTGCTGATGTTCAAGCAGCGTTTCTGAGGTGAACACAAACAGGCCACATGGTACAGTACCCACACAGTGTAATGTGATAGTGCCATCCCTGACTACTGTTGCTGAGGCATTTTAAGCACATCCAATTATCATCGATTTGCAGAGGCTCACTGCCTCTATTCCCGAGCCCACAAATAAAAACAACTTGTCCATAAGCATGAATGATCTGCCCTTATGAACACAGATTTTCTTTGCACTTTAGACTAATAAGGGTCAGTGAGTCAAGCCACGTGCCTCACTGACACAGACCCGTATCCTAAAGAACACTGTTCTGCAAGACTGTTTGTGATCATCTTTGAGTCAGATGTGCACGCTACATCAATATACTATATGATAAACCATTCAAAATATATTTTTAAATGGTTTGGGGTCAATAAGATTTTTTTAGAAGTAATTAAAACTTTTATTCAGCAAGGACAAATTATATTGATCAAAAGTGACAGTAAAGACATTACAAGAGATTAAAGTATTCATGTACATAACAAAGAGTGAAAAATTTAAGGGGGTCTGAATACTTTCCGTACCCACTGTATATATATATATCTTTTTTTTTTTCTTTTTTTTTTACTAATTGTGCATCCCTAAAACCAGTTAATATTTTCATTCAGCAAGAATGCATTACATTGATCAAAAGTGAAAGTAAATGATTTCTATTTCAAATATATGCTTTTTAACTTTCTATTAATCAAGGAATCCTGAAATAAATGTATCACAGTTTCTACAAAAATATTAAGCAGCACAACTTTTTTTAACATTGATAATAATAATAACTGTTCCTTGAGCAGCAAATCAGCATATTAGAATGATTTCTGAAGTATCATGTGACACGGAGGACTAGATTAATGACTGCTACAAATTCAGCTTTGACATCACAGGAATAAATTAGATTTTAAAATATTTTAAAATAGAAAAGAGTTATTTTACATTTGTAATACTAATAATATTCACAATATTACTACTGTATTTTGATCAAATAAAAGCAGCCTTGGTGAAGAAAAAAAAGAGACAAATATTAATTATTTCTTTCTTAAATATATAAAAAAATCTTACCAACCTCAAACTTTTAAACGGTAGTATATAATGCATAATCCTCATAATATATGTGCCTGAATGGTGAGGTGCATCATTCCATCTGTCGGTTAAAGATTACCTAGTTAGTTCAACTTATCAAGATTCTAAACAGCTAAGAAATCTAGAGATAAAACAAAAGCAGACAAATAAAATACGTAACTTGGATACAAAGCAATGTTATGAAATAAGTGCGATCTTCAGCACCTTGGGTTTAAGTAGACAGTTTGGGCCTTTGAGAAGTTAAAGCAATAACATTTACAGTAGAAACACAATGGCACAGTGTTCTTGGAACCCCAGATAATGTAGGTCAAGACTAACTGTTACGTCCTTCATGTGAAATATGTGTCATTTCGTTTAGTTTTAGGAAAAATAAATGCAAATGAGAAAGAAGATCATCATGGTGAAAACAGCACCTCATTTGAAAGCCAAATCGAAGTACAGACACTATGTCAGTATTGTAGGTGTGTCCCCTTTCATGACTTAGCAGGTGATATAACAAAACATTATCAAATTTGCATTTTCTTGGAATGATTACCACCAGCCAATGGGGATCAAGCAGGAAATGCAAAAACAAAGGCATGTGACTATACTATATGTGGAGCATATAAATGTAGTGTGAACCTAATGCCTGTTGGTTTATGAGAATAATTTGTTGCCCAGTTCACATCCTATATTACTTGGGATATTGGAAATGGATTACACAGAATGCTTCTCAATAACCATAAATTATGTCAACATAACTGATGCATTTCTCTCATTTCATTAGGCCATTTCAACTTCAATTTAAAAAAACAGATCTGATACAAACCAGTAGATATACAAGAGGCCTTCCTGTTGATTACAAACATTAACATTGCATGTACACTAAAAAATACCAGTTTTTTTTTTTATAACCCAAATGCTGGGTTCAGCCTGGGTCATTTTATTGGGTTATTTTTAAAATTTTTACCCAGGTGCTAGGAAGTTTTTCTGTACCTCAGCTGCTGGGTCATTTTTACTGTGAATACAAATGATGAACCCCCTCAAACACCTACCCAGCGCTGGGTCAGTGTAACCCAATGTTGTGTAAACTGTGCCAAACCAGTTAAAACTGGATAGATTTGTCAGCGGTCATTCTGTGTTCTGTCCTGAAGGAAAACATCCTGAGGGGAAACTTCCTTATTAAATAACTTATTAAAAATTAAGGTTTGTATTACATTGCATTTTTATCAAATTATTATTCTACAAATAGGAAAATGTCTGTATTCTCACATTTTTCCTTTATTTAAAGGGGTCATATGATGCGATTTCAAGTTTTCCTTTCTCTTTGGAGTGTTACAAGCTGTTCGTGAATAGATAAGTCGCGCTGTGGATCGCCGGATCGGCTTTCACCATGGACAAAGCGGAGTCCAGCCCGGTGTCGTCACATGGGGTTGCCGCAATCCCGCCGGCCGCGCCGTTCTCAAGCCCGCCGGCCTC